ATCCAGGTACGATACATGTGAATTCCAAGTCAGAGTGTGGAGAATGCAATTATGCATGACTGTACTTGAATGTACATGTGTTGAGGAAAACTAATCAAATTCTGCACAATATCTCTCCAGGTCTAGCGATGACCTCACGGGTGTCGTTGACGAGGTCGCCGTGCGGCAAGGCGGCGTGTCTGGGTTGTGCCGATCATACCTCTCACCACCGGGACGCGCCCGTCAGACGAGCCGTGAAACCCAGGATGTTCCTGTGCAATCAGAAGAACTGCAACAAGCAGTTCAACTCCATGGACAAGCTGGGGGCTCATCTTAGGGTGCACAACAAACCCAGCGTCTTCTACCCGTGAGTATTTCAAATTTGTTTGAACCATCCTTTATTCATGAAAGCTGAAATTGGCATGCAAGATACTTTTCATTGAGATCATGTGGGGAGAGGTAAGACAAAATAATAATATTATCAAGGTAAAGTATATACTAGTAGTAGTATCAGTTCGTTTCGATCATTTCTGTTACTTATGTATATAAGGGGTTAAGTAGAAAACCCCTGGCTCCCAGAAATTGAACCCAGGCTGCCAGCTTGAGACTCCGATGTACACTAGGCTGAAAGGTCTGGACCTGTTAAATTACAATGTACTAATACATTTAATTTGTTCATGCTTGTGGGGTTTTATTTTGTGTTACTAATACTGGTTAGAGGAGACATTTACTATTTATCGGTTAAACTTAAAGCAATTCTGTAATTCAGCATTACATGTACATTGGAAAATTGACACTGTAAATCCTGGTAGCAAAAATTTGTGGTCTGAGAAAAATTGACATAATTGCGGAACTGTACGTTTGTGATGGCGACAGGTGCAACAAAACAAAAGTCGGCAAATTATTTGCAGTAATGATAAGTTGGCGGTACAGAAGTGACCAGGAAAACTGCGAATATGAAATGAGAGTAAAAAAATCATGATTTACAGCATTCGCGATGTCTAAGTTGCAAAAAAGATAACCGTAGCAAACACTGCAAGATTCACAGCAGGTTATTACAAGAAAATTGTCTCCAGGCTTTCTTGTTCCATCCAGCTTTTATTGCAATTTACATGTAGAATTAGGCCACACCAATTTAATTTGTTGGTTCTCGGATTTTTTCAGAAAAAATATGAAGCGACAGGGCGAAAAAAAATAAAAATAAAAACAGGTCTAGGCATCCTATTATAGGCTTAAATGCTACAAAATGAGCCATGAAGTCAACACAAAAGGCTGGGTTAAAATTTAAACATTGAATTTTGAACTTTTAATCAAACCACTGCAATGATAGATGGGAAAACTGTAACAACTAGGAAGAAATGGACTTTCCTCAACTGTTGGGGGGCAAAACATGAGCATTTTTCAGTTGATTCAGGACCAGAATCAAATTTTTTTTTTGCAAATCAGAAAAAAACGAAGAGGCGAATCCAAGAACCAACAAATTAAATTGGTGTGGCCTTATATCCTTTTATATTACTAGTATACAGGCTATTCACATTTGCCATCATGTTGGATTACAGTCTGAATTCAAACACACCAATATGCTATTCAGCTATTGCTGTTATCAATTTTCCTGCCAACACCTGGTTGCCGGATTCATATGATAATTATCATGGTGTCAATAAAAAGCCTCTATATGGCATCCTATTCTAATATGAATATGCAAAAATACAGGGGCAAAATTAGCATAACAAATAAGCTGCCTTTGTTTTGCAAATGAAGACAGGACAGATGTTGTAACAACAATCAGAACATAGTGAAACAACAAAAATACTTACTAGTAGTACATGTACTTGAAAGAAAGGGAAAGACAACAGAGAGAAGTCTTAACAGGATCTTCTCACATCCTCCCTTACCTTTTCACAGCATCTTAAAAGCTAAGAACTCAGCTTGTGGTGATGTCTATTTAAACTGGAGTGTGAGCATTATTGTGTAGCTTGAACTCCATTGTCTTCTGCAGTTTAGGCCGAATAGAAGATGAAATACATTTCACCATAGATTGCCCCTTGTATAGTAGAGATAGACTCATATTTTTTAGCCATGTATTAAGTATATATCCCCACTTTAGTTATTTGACTAGTAAAGAGAAATTTGTATTCCTTTTAACTTTTGATAAACCTACTCTAAGTAATCTCACAGCCGCATATATCCATACAATCACTACCAAGCGAGATGAAGCCGAAAAGAATAGAAATTAGACATTTATTTACACTCTTATATGTTCATATATTTGTAATGTATATGTTTATGTTCATGTTCTGTACCCATGCGACCTGTACTTAGTTCTGTAGAACACAAATGTACAATAAAGGTCTTCATTCATTCATTAAAACTCAGGTGAAAAATTTAGCAGGTTCCATTGTTGTGTCTCCTCTCACCACACAGGTGAATATGAATACCTAGTTTTGGTTAGTGAGATCTTCATGTAAAGCTACACCTCTAGCATGTTTAAGAACCCAGCACACTTGTAGAAAAGTTCTGTTTGGAAATTGTCTCATGTCTTTTCTTCAATTTCTTTTTGTAGGTGTCCAAAGTGTTCATTTAAGTGCAGTTCCCAGAAGAAGCTAGAATTCCACATCCACAACAAGCATGTCTTAGACCATGGCAAATGGAAGGGAGCAAGTAAGTACATGTAGGATGAGTTCCACAAAGTACAAAGTATAGCAAGTTTTGGCAATAAGTCTTTTCTAGCAAGGCCATGTTGATTTGATTATATGGATGACATCCGCGCGCGCATGAATTTTCGGCCGTTTCCAAAAAAAAAAGTTTTCAACCATACTGTAAATCGTGCAAAAAAGTTGCTAAATGAGCAAAAATATACCATAAGTTGCAAGGTAAAACATTTAGAAACGATACCAATGTCGTAGAATGCCAAAATCAAAGGAAAAAAGACAAAAATGTAAAGAAATGAATTCGAAGAGTAGATTATTCGCCATAACATCTTCTGTGCCATTTGTTCAACCTTCATGACCACGTAGATTTCATAGTGAAAGCAACTTTTTTTTTTGCAAAACTTTTTTTTATTCGCACGCGCGCATCAGTTTTGGGGTTCCCAGAGGATGTCATCCATATAATCAAATCAACATGGCCCAATTAAGAAAACTAGACATTTCACAAAACATGAGATATGACTGACTGTTCTTTATACATGTTTTGATCTTTTGTGTCCAGATAGACAGATAACAAATACTGCTTTGATTTTCATGTTGACATAGAAATACATGAAGCATATGATCAAGAGGACTGTCTCTTTGAAGATTGTTGTTGTTGCATATTTTGTGTCAAATCATGCATTGATGTTGTTGTCCTCAACATTCTGCAGGTAATGCCAAAAGAAAACCCTCTGCTCTCATTCTGTGGCATCATGTTGGTAACAGGTAGGTACAGAACCAACTGCCACCCTTTTTTGCATTAGTGTTAGAGTTTGGCAAATGTTTTATATGTACATGTAAGTTATGCCCGTGCTATACAATCCAACCCAGTCAGCATGGCTAATGACAGCAAACCAAGATAGCAGTCCCATTATACTCCTAAGCAAAAATTGTATAGCACAAGGCACCACAACAAAATAGAACACTACACATTACAACTGACCACAACACAAGTCACCACATTGCAGTGCAACACTACACCGTGAAATGTAGTACAATGCAGCACAATACAAAAAGAAACACACAGTATAGCACACTTTAATAACACAATGCAATGAAACATTGATTTCGTATTTAAAGTGAAATCAAATCCTACTACTGGATAAAATACATGACATCTGTCACTCTTTTTCAGCGTGTCTAATTTCTAAATGAAGGAGCTGGAAAAAAACAGTTGAGCATGACATAGATTTCTTACCTTTGAGCCAGTTCTGATTGCCTTTTTTGGCAGTGAAGTTTTCAATAGTCAGTCACAAATTTCCACGTCCATTTACATGTATTTCTGTAGATACAAGTGTGGTCAGTGCCAATTCAGCACAGTATCCAGGCCGGCCATTTCAGAGCATTGCAGAGACCACAGGGCTGGGTCAACTGGAGCAGTAACAAAGGCAAAGGCAGTCAAACCAACCAAGACAGGTATATGGACTTCATTTCACTGTAAGAAATTGGTAAAGGAGGTGTTTTTGCTGTTAAACAAGACCTCATTACTTCAGAATCTGTTGACTTTTTAAGTCCACCACAATTTAATCTGTTGGTTCCTCAGGTTTGCCTGCTTCATTTTTTTCCTGAGTTGCAAAAAAGAAAAAGAAGAAGATTTAGGTTCTTGATCAAATCTAAAATGCTAATATTTTGGCCCAAACAGTTGAAGAAAACTCCTAATCCTACTCGATACACTTTTTTCCATCTATCAATGTATCTATTGGTTTGATAAAAATTTTTAAATTGATTGTTTGAATTATAAACTTGGCCTGTTATGTTGACTTCATAGCTGAGATATTGTAGCTTTTGGGGGGTAACATCGGATGCCTATGCTTGTTTTTATTTTTATTATTGTCACCCTGTCGTTTCATATTTTTTTCTGATAAAATCAAGAGAGTCAACAAATCAAGTTGGTGTGGCCTAAAATCACTTTGTATCGTTGTTATTCCAGTTCTTCCACAAAAGAGGCCACAAGTAAGGAGAAAAGCTGGCCAGAAGAATACAGGAAAAGAGGAAGTGTCCAAAGTATCTGACACACATCAGATGTTGAGGAGATCCAAGAGGAAGATGTCCTAACTAAGATACTTACTTTGTGCACTCTATACTACTTACGTACACATATATATCTGTATTGTACAGTATATGATAGATGAAACACAATTATTCAATCAAAGTGATATTTTGGTAAACATGTCACTAGTATCATCCACATGTGATTTGATGTTCATTATTAGTTGCCTATTTGACCACCAAATTATTTTCATAATTTGATGGTTTTCATTTTGTTACACCTGAGTTATATTTATGTTTTGTAGATGCATGGAGTTAAAAGGATCCTCCTTGGTAGATGTAGTTGAACAGCTAGTAATTTGGAACCTACCTTTCCATACCCATCTACTTGTTCATACATGTTCATGTATATTATAAAATACTAGTAACCATGTTAAGCATTTAATTCTGTTCAGTTCTATGTTTTTTTTTTTAAAGGATGAAAGTAAAGAGGCTGGCCAGCAGTTCAAATTATAAGCCATACAAATGGGAACAAATGCTATATTATTGACAATATGCTAAATTATGCAGTACGTAGAACAACTATAACTCAGGGACCTGGAGCTTCCATGACATAGTTAATATAAGCAACCTGTTGGATAATGTTGTGCAGCAAATAATTTGCTAACTTTAATCATGCTACCAGCAACTAGCCCCACATTCAGATAGACACTGGTGAATGAGCTTGCTTTTTTTTTTGACTGGGAGTAAGCATGTAACTCAGACTGAGCATTTTTCAGGGATCTATTTGTATGTGATTTTATACAGACATGTTGTTAAGTTGGTAGTTTATCAGTACTTTTGACATGGAAACTGGTCCTAGTGACGTCCAAAACCTAAAATTCCAATCCCTGTACATGTAATTAAATAAAAACCTGGTGAGTATCCTCTTTGGTATAACCAAGGACATTATATTGTAAAACAGGATAATTTTGTAACAAAAACATCAAACGCATTTATAACAACAGCTGTTCTTTTTATAAGTGACATTTAAGAACCAGTAACATGTGGAGGACTTTTTATCGAAAGGTGGCAGATTTTGGAAGAAAGCTTTAACTGCAGTTTGTAGTAGTTTTGTCGTAGTATTGTCCTAGTATACTTGTATGAGTTGAGTATGGATTAATACTGAATGAAAGAAAGGGAAAGAGAAAATTGCGGGTTAGTCAATCTAGGCTGTGTAACACAATCTCTTGCTTTCAGGCCAGACCAGTGGAGGGGCTGCAAGAAGTGCAATATAATCAGGCTAGTAGTCACTCTACATTTGTTCAAGGTTATAATTTTTGCATAACTTTAGTTGCAGCACGTAAAACGTTTTCAGCACGATTAGTGAAGACAAAAATTAGGTACGTAATGTGTAGAGATCATGGATCAGTGCATGTATATGGTAATGTACGTACATGTACATGTACTAGTATGTGATATTTTGTAGTCGTAGCTGTGATTTCGAGAAAAGTATTAGAACTAAAGTATAATTTTGTAGGCAGTTTGTACGTGTATCTGTATTTTCCTAAGCTGAAAAGTTTAAGTTGACAACATGACTTTTGAAATATATATTTTTCATGAGAAGTTGTGTGTAGTTGAAGAAACAAAAACCTGGAAAAAAGAATAGTTCAACATTTTCTGTGAAATATGCAAACAGGTTAAAAGCCCATACAATGTCAAAGTGGTTTGTATTTGTTAGGATCTTCAGTGAAAAATGGTTTAAAACAGCAGGATCTTCAGTGAGAAATGGTTCAAAACACATATTTCCCTTGGTGCTCAATATTGTGTGAAGGATGCCTTCATGTAAAAAAAAATATATTCAGCTTGTGCAATGTCTCTTGTAACAGATGGTATCGAGTGGAGCATGCAGCTAAATTCATGCACACATTTAATTGCAATGGTACAAAACATTCTAATGGCAAACGGTACAAATGTCCAAATTTCAGTTGTAAGAAGTATTTCCAGTACATGTATTTTGTTAGAGAATACTGACAGCAGTTTACTAAGTATTTTCTGGTTAATGCATGTGCATTTTGTTCTTGGAGTACTAGACCAATACGGAAAAGAATTGGGGCTCGCTCAGAATATCATGTCTACTCTGTTACAATATTGCATTATTGGCAATTTAACTTCTGAAGGTGGTAACAAGTTTACTGGTAACGTAGTAGAAATCAGCAAGAAGCCTAATAGTATGTATTATGTATATTTAAACTACATTGTAATATCAGCAAGGCCGACATTGGTGCCAGTGCTGAAAGCGTGAAAATAGAAATGATCTACTCCCTTGAAGGGCCCCAATACATCTAATTGTTTGAAGTAATTTGATCATGGAAAGTGCATGTTTAAGTTTGTTGGTTGGTTATAACTACAGTTAATGTGATATAACCACAATTTGTGATGTTATGAACTGCATTTGAATTATGATATGCCATTTTTGCATGTGGAGATGCCTTGATTACTTTTGTCGGGCGCATTTTGTATACCGTAAGTTCAAATGTATAGCCAGAAAACATTAGACTGGAAGGACATTTACAGACTTAACAGTACATTTACAGACTTAATGATGGTGCTACCTCCAAATGTTGTCTTCCCTTAAATATCAACCACTGTGTGATCTTTCTACATGTGCCAGGTTGGAGGAAGAGCATATCTTTGTTAAACTTTTGCTACCACAAACATAAAGTGATTTACAGTATACCCAGGTATATATTCTAGCCTGGTAAATGTAATCCCAATTATTACAGTTAGACGTTGCAATTAATATTGTTTTAAAGGCAATGTATTAATGTAAGGCCACACCAATTTAATTTCTTGGTTAACGGATTCGCCCGCTTCATTTTTTTCTGATTTGCAAATAAAAATAAAAATTCAGAATCAACTGCAAAATGCTCATATTTTGCCCTGAACAGTTGAAAACAGCCATTTTCATCCCACCCTTCCGAGCAGGGTCAGTGGCGCGGCCCAAAAGAACCTACCGTTCTTTTGGGCCGCGCCACTGACCCTGCTCGGGAGGGTGTTTCATCCTAGTTGTTAGTTATTCCATCTTTCAATGCAGTGGTATCATTAAAAGTTCAAAATTCATTGTTTAAATTTTGAACCAGCCTGGTGTGTTGACTCCTATCGTACCATTTTGGGCCATAATAGGATGCCTAGGCCTGTTTTTATTTATATTTATTTTTCGCCCGCCCGCTCCATTATTTTTCTAGAAAAATCCGTTAACCGAGAAATTAAATTGGTGTGGCCTAAGTCATTGCTTAAACCTCAAAGGTAAAGGCATATACCAACTTGGAGTATTTTGTGCAAATTGTACCAGAGGCTCAGTCCTCAGTTATTAACGAATAAAGCCATTGATGATTAGGCCACACCAAGTAAATTTTATGGATGACGTCCTTTGGAGACCCTAAATCTAATGCGAGAGGGCGAAAAAAAACAAGAAGGGCCCTAAAAAACAAGATGCCTAGATTAGAAATATACTAAGAGACAACAAATATTAGGACACAAATTGAATGAGGTGACATAGTGTAACAAGCAAGAAGTCTTTCATTCATCATCAAAACAGCAATAAATCAGGTGGAATAGCAGTTGTCGTCCTGTCCTGTTTTCGCGTTACGGGTTCCACGTCAATCTGGCGATTTGTGGCACTCTCATGACTCTTTGGTCATAGTTACAGGAAGCGGAATTTCTTGTTTTTTTTTCTAGGAACGGGCCAAAATCAATGCGCGCGAGGACGTCATCCATAAAATTTACTTGGTGTGGCCTTAATAAGCATTGACAATACAATGTCGTAGTCCTCCCATCTATTATACTAATACCTAAGCCATATCTGTCTTCTGTTGTATGAAGGTAATGGAATTACTTCAACACAATTAATCAGTCATGTCTGGAACATAGTTCCTATTGTAAATTTGTTTAGTTCTTAGGCTTTGTTGTTGGCTCTTAGATGGATAAAGGTGTCAAGGTTATATTCTATAGATGTAACTTATGCTGCGACAGTATGGGATCCATATACAAAGAAAGACAAAGACAAATTGGAAAGGGTACAGAATCAAGCTGCAAGATTCTGTATGAACAACTATGTAAGAGGTGCTAGTGTCACGGAAATGAAAAGAAACCTACAGTGGACCTCACTGGAAGACAGAAGAAAGATGTCTAGACTATGCATGATGTACAAAATGACTAATAAACTGGTGGATGTCCCAACTACTAAGTACCTAATACCAGCCCAGAAGAGAACAAGAAATAGCCACGCATTCAAGTACCAGAGTTATCAACCAAGGATTGAGGTGTTCAAGAATTCATTCTTTCCTAGAACTATCGCAGAGTGGAACTCACTGTCACCAAGTACAGTAGGGGCATTGTCAATAGATAGCTTTAAACCTAGAAGTTCAAGGGTTAGGTGTAACAAGTCGATTGGTGTAATATAGCCAGCCGCCGCCGCGCCGCGTGCCTGCGAAACTGGTGTGTTACGCCGAAAGGCGGTTATACCGGCTATACAGATACAGATACAGATAACTGTTTTAAAGTAGATCAATATTCTGATTTTGTGTCAGAAATTTTCTAACTGGTTTAGTTTTTCGTGATGACCCCTATATGAAATCACAACACTGAATTCGGAATTTGTGTTTGTATTAGGAATTCTAGTGTACTTACAGCAGTTTCAACCATGAACTTCAAACACTGCAAAAATCTCATATTTTGCTATTTGCATAAAATAAAACCACCATCAAAGACTTAGTAAATGCACTTAAAGTACCTGCAGTCTTTTGTTTTATTCAAGGCCATTATATATACTAAATGTACTTTCCTTACTTTATCTGTAAACTCAGGGCCCTGTGTAAACTCTTGAAATTGAATTCCTTTTCATGAACATTATTCCCTATATTGTGATCAAAGGGAGATATCATTAAGATGAGACTTACAACTATCAAAAAGATACATTTTCGAGAGTAAAACAACATATTTTGGACAAAAATGGTTTTCCTTCAATCCCATTGTATGCAGTTAGATGTAATTTTGAAGTCAAAACACAACTTTGAAGTGCCCGCCTTGATTCTCAATGAAGCCAACGGCGGAGTGATATTCCTTACCAATCTGTGCTGTCCTATTTTAGTTACAAAACATCAATCTAATGTTGTAAAACTATTTTAGGAAGTACACAATCTTACACAAACACTATCTTTTTATTTTATTTGACGTCTAATGATCAGTTAAAAGAATCAAATTGGTACGGAAGGGAATGTTTTGTGGAATTAATTGAGCACAATTTTTGTTACGCGGAAGGAGGTGTACGTTTACATGTGTGATCAAGCACCAAACATGGCGGCGCTTTTTTGGAGGCTTACGTGAAAGGTTAGACATTTTTCCACCACCTTCGACACGATGTTACGGATTTGCCCCGGCTCAAGGAAGAATCTCACTAAGTCTCAGAGGGAAGAGGGCTGTTTTCGTCGCCCCGTGCGGTTTAATCTCCTCCGGACTTCACGTGATACGGAAAAACGGTACGTGTTTTGGTGGAGGGGCGTTGTGGTTGTGTGTGTGTGACTGACTGTTTAGGTGGTGGGAGGGGGGCATAGGTGACGAGGTCGTTTGTGTAACATGAATTTATAATAACGTTTCAACATGCCGCAGAGATCAATCAGACTACTCAAACGATGTTCCTGTAAGCCCTTATCCAAACCGTGATTCCACATATTTCTTAACAGAATCCAAAGCTGCATGTAGCTTGTGAGGAGTAGTCTCGATCGTGAACGATCGCCCGAACACGTCGGTAGTAGACTGATGGCTATGTCGGTTATAAACCTGGACACGTGCTCACAAAAACACATTTTTTAGGCACGCAAACTTTCCTCGCATCTAAATCTTCCTCAACCACGATCTGTGGCCATCGGGACTACATACTTACGACGCCAGTGTGACTTAAAAAAATTTGCAACTACACGTAGATTTGTATCACAAGAAAATATTTTCGTCCGTCCGTGCGTAAACGACCAGACAGTTTTTTCAGTAGTCGATATGTTATGTTACTCCTGTAGCTTCAACAACTTATTTTTGTAAGTTGTTGGAGCTACAGCAGACTCTATTAGAAGCAGTTGCAGCTAGGATTTAACGATGAGGGGCACTTTTGAGTCTAAAACGGGACCTGGACAGATCGATACACGGACGTTTGTATCGATTTGAGCCGGCTGTCGTGTCGTCTCAGAGACTCAGACAGTAGGGCTCGAAATAAAAATTATGGGTGCACATACTCCCTATCGCAGGTAAAATTGGAGCTGTGCAGGTACTAGTATTTCTTATGTCTACCTGCACCTAATCTGCACTTTGCCAATGTACTATGTTCATAGTCAAATGCAAATGTAGATGTGTGTGAATTCTTATTTTCTGCATTTACTGTTTTCTTACCACCTATATGAAGTAGTTTGAAAAAAAATTATGGCAATGGTTTCTGAATTGTTACTTTTTAGTATGATCCATACCTCTCAAAAGTCTGAATGGTGCAGGTGAAACAGTTATCCAGTGTGGTAATTTTCAATGTTACCTGCACATTTGCAGCTATGCAGAAAAAAAAGTATTTGGAGCCCTGCAGACAGAATGGTTTATAAATGGCCCTCAGTTGGTTGTATTGTATTGCAAAGCTTTATTTGATTATTTTCTTCAACTAAGTGTGTTTCGTGCACAATGTTGTATTTCCAGGGCAGCTTTTGTCCGTCTAGACTAAGATTTCTTTTGTTTTGTAAATGTCTGTCTGTTGTACTACTACTAGTAGTAATGTAAAATACACAGACAAGTCTGGGTAGTAATTAGGGCAATTGTGATGCAAATCTCTTGGTCACCTGTACTGGGTATTGTAGTATTGCCCAGCCAAGAGAAGGCGTTAGAATTTCCCTCTTACGATGTGATTGTAGTCGTTTTATGGCTTAATAGTATATGCAAAATTTTTGTTGTCTATTCAATAGTTAGAAGTCCAAAAAGTTTTATACAGGAGTAGATTATTGTAAAAGTCAGTGAAATCATTATGATTTTTACACCAAAGCACATTTTTAGTAACAGATATGTTATAATTATGTTTAAAAATTGTGAAATATTAGATTTTTATGTCGACAGTTTTGCAGTGGCCTCTCCCAGCTACCAAATATCAAGACAACCCATCTAAATTATTAAACTTAGCCTTCTTGAGTTATTGTGTTTACACATAGAAAGACGGGCACACACACACACACACACACACACACACACAAACATAACCTTCTTGGTGAAGGTCAATATTAGCAGTTCAGAATTGTCAGCTTGTATTCCTGTAATTTCATATTGCGTGAACAGTATACAGCAACAGGATTATGGGAACATATCTATTTATAAATCTCAGAGATAGGCTAAATATCATGTTGACATAGACTGTTGCCAATACAAAAACTTGGCTTTCATCTCGTATTTTGATATTATGGAAGTGAAAAAAGATCTCATAATGTAGCTGTAAATAATATCAAGGCCATGCCAATTTGATTTGCTGGTTCTTGGATTCAATCAATGAAGTGATTGGGAAAAAAGCCTAAGTATGCATCCTTTGATAGTCCCAAATGCTACTGCCGGTATATGGATAGTGGTTCAACAATAAATCAAATTAGTATTTGCAGGGCTCGAAATACTAGTGTAGAGAGAGTACAGTTCGTACCACCTTGTACCAAGTACATTGTACTCTGGAGTCAGTTACTGTGTGTGTTGGGGGGTATACCATGGCATCAGACAGCAAATATTTGAAGACTTTTCTTGTCCCAAGATGGGGTGTAGGTTGGACCATTTTGCGGTGATCTGGATGTGATTAATAACAATTTTAAATCTCATAATCTGCTGTAGAACAGGATGCAAATGTAAAATATTATTTAAGGCATTTTTTGGTTTTATCATGGATGATCATCAGTGTACGTAGACTTCGAAAATACATGCACATCTCCAATTTTACCTGCATACGCATTTCTAGCCCTGTTTACCACTAGTATCATTGTATTTTTTCCTTGAACGGAGCACCTCACCCCACCGGCTGCAATTGTCAATGACCCTGGATGTGATGCCACAGTTTGGGGCCTTGTCCAGTACAATATATAGATATAGATATCAATTTCATTTGCTGTTGTGATGATATGCATTTTCACACTAACTAGCTTGTCCCTACATTAGTTGGGATCTGTTCTGGCTATTACCAGATGTTTACATTTCAGGGATCTCCCCAGAAATTTAGGACAGAATGGAGGAGGGTGCGAAATATCGGTAAATTTGACCAAAGAACGCTGGAAAAGGGTGTAAAAACACTAGTTTTGAAAATTAACAGGGTGGAGCTGAGATAAGGACTGGGTGGAGGAGCTCCACTGCTCCATTGTTTAGGGAGGTCCCTGCATTTGGCTTGATTGATTGACAGCTAGATTCCATCTTGATGGGGTAACAAGGGTCAGCGGAGGTCAGCAGAGGTCACCCATCATGGTACACTGATCCACTGGAATCCATCTCCTGTGTTGGAAAATCACTCAGCACTATTGACTGACAAAACTGTGTTGTTACAAAGTCTTACCGCTTTCCTCTGTACTGTGGTTGGGATCTAGTTCTTGGCCCATATTGTAATATTGACAAAGAGTAGCCAGAATGTTGCAACAAAAAGTTGCTCTTTTGATTTTAAAACCTATAAGTGTTTTTACAAATTTATTACTAAACCAACTTGTCACGCTGACATGGAATGTAGGCACTGTAAATCTTTAATGTTTGTGGTGGTTTTAGTTTCATGGTGACCCCTCTACTGCAAAATCTTGCGGGAACTTGCGGCTGTCAAGTTGTTCAAGCGCATGCTCAGCCCTGACCACCCACTACATGATTTGGTACCGGGAGCCAGGTCGGAGAGCACAGGGAGGTGTTTGAGGAACTCTGGGGGAATCACGGTGCCCAAGGCACGGACAAACAGACTGTACAACTCGTTCCTCCACTGCACAATCAGATTGTACAATAGCCAAACGCAGACCTAGTGTTCTAGTGTTTCATGTCCCACTTTTGTATGTAATTGTCTTGTGCATTTCTATACTTATGTAAAGTCCACACAATTCAGGAGTACTACGTACCCCTGCTATGTAGACTGTTCTTAATAAAATTGAAAATTGAAAATTGAAATTGAAATTGAAAAATCAAGATCAATTCATTTAAAATCAGTTCATTCAAGACATTGTAGCTTTCCTGTATAGTTAACAAAATTTGTTTCTGCCGCAGTCTTCCTTTTTACCCCAACCACGAGATTAAGACACCACAAAAATAAATAAATGAACAGTAATCAGATCGCAGTACTGAGGCTGCTACTCTGAATATACAGTAAGTACTCTACAAAAGATACTCGTCAAATCAGTAAAAGACAAATAAATGAACTTGATCATAGTTGTAGAGTTTTTGTATATTTCTTGTGAAGACTCCTGAAATGGCATCAACACATTATGCAGAATAGATACAATCTGGAGACACTCAGTCCCCCCATTCTGAGATAACACACAAGGGTATGTAGCAATTATATATGGCACAGACTGTGACGTCAAGGCACAGTTCAATGCATCTGCTTTGAAATTCAATGTGCCGGGAAAAATGTACGAAAAACCTGTCCGCAGATATTACACCACATGATATACAAGTGGTTTCATCATACATAAATGGTCGTGCCCTAAACAGAGTGTCAATCAGTCCTTTGTATATAAGGAGTCGCCACATGGATTATGTAGGTCAGACATTGCAAATTGAACTGTGCTTAGTCTGAAGGTCAAATGCAAGGGTGGCTGGCTTCCAATTTCCCTGTCTGTATAGAGTTGTGTACATGTCTGGGTCAGGGCCGATTGAGAGAGTGTGACAGGATTCCATTGAAAGGTCTACTTCGTTCCTTGTTTCCTACCCTTTCAGTGTAGATAATTTGTTGCTATATTATACAGCGTATACAAAATGCCACAAATGATCTACTCTTGCAAATTGTAGCATATGCCAGAGGAACATATCTAGTAGCAACACAGCTGAAATCCACATTTAATTTGTAAGTTTTACAGGGAAAACACTAACTTTTTGAAAGATGAAAAAGAAAATTTACACAACAGAATTTTTAGTACATCAGAGAACTACTATATATACTTTGTTGGTGTGAAAACTTTCTTGACATTATAAATGATTTTTTTTTGGCCACCCCTAGTTTTGGAATGGTCTCTTCTAGTTGTATAAGCCAAACCCAGTGCTTTAAATCTTATTGTCTACAGTCTATGATGTCTTGTATGCTGAAGAGAGTGTAGTGACATATACGTATTGGCAGGTATGGTGGCTGCAGGCAGAGCGTGTTGTATGTGTGAATGGTAGTGCAGGACTTGAAATACTTGGTGCATATGCACCTTAAAACTTGCAAGTGAAATTGGGGCTGTGCAGGTATATCTGATGTCTACCTGCACCTAACCTATACATATATATAAAAATC